GTTTCCTCACATTAAGCTAAATAAACATTAAGAGGCTGTAACCGCATGTCCAAACATGGCATAATTATGTAGTTATGGATGCCCATTTGTGCTTCTGTTGAAAGATTTGCCTAACATAGAGCGTCTCCTATTGCGTCTAGATTCTATACACTCAGACCAGTTGTTCATGTGTCTTGCATGGGAGAGAGAAAAGCATTTCAACTCTGCATGATAAAAACAGAGCACAGCACGAGAGTCTTAACAAACACGGTAATTATTTCCAACCCTCAGCCCTGCAAGATTCATCCTTATAAAATAAAGAAAAAAGAACCATTTCCTTAGGGTGTGTAATATCACATTTCCAAGCACTGAAAATCAAGTCCAGACAATCTCTTATTTAACATTTTCACACTCCTTAAGGCAACAGAGACATACAAAACGTGAGCTTCATATTCAGGCGTGAAAAGACTTCTGAATTTCTTTTAAGAGTTTATAAATAGATATTTTAAAGAACATGAATCAGCAAGTGAGAAGAGGTGATTCACAAAGTGACTCAGCCGTAGAAACAAGGCCCGACATTTAACACACATGCCTGCAAGCTCAGATAAATCATTTTCTGACAGAGCTTGGGTTAACTTCCAGGGCTTCTCTGTTTACCCATCATGAACATGTCTATTTAACACTATCCCCATACTAATAAAAGTTGTGATCACACGTGATAATCTGTAACTATATACCTATTCTAATTCTGAAAAATTAAGAAACCATCTGCATTTTATTTGTGTGTCTGAAAGTTTTTACTGTTAGTGATTAATTTCCCAAATCCTTTTTAAACATTTCATAATTGGAACACTTCAGTTTAGATCAAATTTAGTATAGTTTATTTCTTAAGTACAGATTAGAATAATAGTTTAGTTTATGAACAGAAAGGTTCAATAAATCTAAGAACTTAAGGAACTTTATATGAATCTTTTGTTGGCATTGCATATGTTTAAAAAAGAACAGTGCATAAAAACTTCCAATAAATACTGTCACCTATGACACTACAATATAATTCTATTTCCTATATATTTGTCACTCTCTTTAACATTTAAAAAATGTGATACAAATCTTGAATATTCCTACCAGATATTCCTATTGTTATTATTTATCGGACTTTCAGTCTGCATTGGGAATTATCAAAAGTGTGACTTTATTATCTAATATAGTCTAAAAGGAGCTCTTTTAGACTATTTTGACGTTTTGATAAATCTTAGAGGTGATTAAAAAAAGGGGGGGGGGGGAAGAAAAAATGGTGAAGAAAAATGGGAAAAAAAGGAAAGAAAAAGATTTGATAAAAGGAAAGGAGAAAAAGAGAAAAAAAATTACAAAAAAACTTAATATTCAGTTCTTTTGACAATTTAGCCTGCTAGACTGTCACCAGTAACACAAAAGCAGCTATGACTTCAAGCAGAACAAACAGAGAAAGGATTATAAAACCAGTGTTTTAAAAACCTCCCCAGAAAACCCTGATTTCAAAGGCCTTTCTAACGCTCACGGAAGAAACTACAACCCCCAAGATTCTCTTCGGCTAAACGTCATCAAATTCTGTCCAATCAAATCCGTAGAAGGCAGTTCGCCACAAAAATACGGAAAAACAAAACGGTCTCTTCCAATTATGTAGGGGAAGTTTTTGAAAACTGTTTTGACAAGCGACCCGAATGTTGATAACTAGAAATATATGCAAGCAGACGGAAACATTTGATGACTCAAAGTGAATTGGAGCAATGGAGATAACCCCCAAAGCAGACAAACTACCATGTTCGCTTTCATCGCCTTGTTATTCAGTCGAGTCAAGCCCCTCTGAATTCAAAGAATATAAAGTAAGTGTGGCTAACTTTATTAATATCCATCAGCTTTACTTGAATTCAAATCAATAACGTAACCAGAGAACTACAAACAAGGGGTTCAGCCTGAAATAGTAAAAAAATATGGAAGAAAAAAAAAACAGCATATTTGCACTTCCTTCCATTTAATGTATTTTATCCACCATTCTATAAATCGTTAAATGATATTGTCCTTTTTTTCTAAATAGCATACATCCTGTTGTCCATTTACTAACCCCCACCCCCGTGAATCAGTTTGTTTTTACATCCATTTGTTGACTTTAAAATTAAACAATGATCTGGATGAGAAGGACATTAAGAAATAAATATTGGTACAATCTCCGTCCATGCTCTCATAAATACTGGGTTGTTGATGATCATCATTTAAAGCATTTCCACTTTCTCTCCTCAGCATCGCTCTGGGCTGAGCGCCTCACTAAGGGAGAGGCTGAAGAGAACACGGCGCTCCTTCATCTCACCCCTTTCTGTGGCCAAACGCCTTTGTGTTGACAACGAAGAAGAAGAGGAGGACAGCAAGCAAGTTTCTGCAGACACCTCAGAGATCCACAGCGAGGATGCACACAGGACTAAAACCATGCTGGGCAGTGAGGGGCAGTCTGCGCCTCCTCAACCAACACAGATCTCCTCAGAAGATTTAGCTCTGCAGCTAAGGAAGGAGGTGAAAGAGAAAACTGAGACTCTGCGTCGGCTAAAGATGGTCAAAATGTACAGAAGCAAGGTATTAGTTAAATAGTCCAAGTATCTTTGACCCTGTTTGGTTGGGACTACTGAAAATAGTAATATATAAAGTGTGTTTCTCTTTTTTCGCAGAATGATTTGATGCAGCTCCAAACCTTGATTGACAAGTGGCGGAGTTGTGCTCAGGCTGCTCTGTATGAGCTCCAGTCAGAGATCCCCATAGAGGGAAGAAAAGCTGAACTCTCTGAGCTCGTTGACCTCTTCGGTCTGGATGACAGCATTCTGCGCTTTGACCGTGCAGAGGGGGATTTCACTACTTAATACCTGAAGCAGTATCTTAAGTTTAACAGACACCACAAAGGAGTTAACACAGTTAACTGTATTTATTTCCAGTTCTTGTTCACAGCAGGGGTAACAACATTAACATACTGTGGCAAAATGTACTGCGTTAAAAAAAAACAATACATTTACTTTAAAGATTGTGTGTAAGACACTATAAAGATCTAATCTATCTTTTTACATCTTAACATTTTATGCCCGTTTGCAACAAAGTAAACAAATAAAACTGTTCATGAGTTGAACTGCAACTAGTCGAATGCGGGAAGTTATTTTCTTCCTAGATGCTGTTGATCTCTCTGGAGTCGTTTCAGCTCCTCTGAATGAGCGCTTGCACGCCTCTCCTATATGGCCTTCTTACGGATTTCTTGAAAGCGATCCTCTCTTTTTGCGTCTTCATCTTCTGTTTCAGCTAAAATGCCAAAAGAGCTTGGTTTAAAAACTACATTTAGAAAAAAAACAATCCCCTCCGCATAGAAAATAACTGGTGCAATTCAGAGAGTAAACTAATACAAGTTTGTATTTCAGGCCACTTTATTCAAAGATTGAAAACTATTCATTTAAAAAAAGTTACTTAGATTGATGCATTTCATTTTTTTAAGCCTGACTACCTGAGGATTATGACTTGTAGCCAATAATAAACTGCCATTCTGGAAATGATTTTCTGTTACATAGGAGCAGTAAATACATATTTAATACAGACATGACATAGTATTTCTGTTAAGAAAATACACAACTGTGAGTTTTTTCTGGACATGGTTATTGACACACAACATACAAGCGGTGTCCAAGCGGTGATTGGGTTCGACTTTTTGATGATATTTGAAATAAGAGAAATAGAAATGTTAGTCTGTTAACATTACTTCCTTGTTCATGAATCTGTCTCAGCTTTGTAACAGTCTTCTGAACATCAGGAAGCTCCTTCTCTAGATCAGCATTACTCTGTGCTATCTTTGCCATCTTTTTCTAGACCCCTTGCAACCTTTTCTTGCGCTGCTCAATGTTTCTCTCGTGGCTCTGAAAATGGGAATGCCGTGTATTACTAAAATATTTAAGGTCTTTCTGGCTTTTGAGATTAGATTAAAATGATCAGTTACCTTTTTCATTAAAGCAATACTTTTCTCCATTTTGGAAATTTTCTCTTCTGTGTGAGTGCTGCGATCCTTCCTGCTGAGAAACTGGGATAAAGAAGTCTTTTAAAGAAAAATATCACAACAAATGTGTGAGCTTCTTTATCAGGAAATATTATAAGTCAGAGGAACAGTTTTATTTCTATTCACTGTTTTCTTCCTTTATGTTTTATGGCCTTTAACAATGTCAGGAAGCTACTGTAACAGCAGCAGAGCTACTGGAACCCACTGCCAAAGGAAACTGGCATAAAAACTTGGAAGTGCATGTTCTGTGCTTTTTTGAACTGTTATAAATAACTTTGTTCATCTTTTTTTTTTTTTTTTTACATAAATCGGGTATAAAATCTACTGCTACACACCACAGTAAACTTAAACAGGCTAGAAATTAATCAGGAGAATTAAAGTGAAAAGATTTTTACATATAGCCAAAATAAATGGAGTTTAGAAATGTTGAAGTGAAAGAACAAGGGGTGGGGAGGCTGTTGGAAGAGGGTGTGAGCTTTCTATAAAAGATAATCCATGTGCACTGGGAGATGGAAACAATTTTCTGCTTGCACAACAACCCAGTGTGCCAAAACCCTAAAAACCTGCCTGGATATGGCAGGGAGGAATTTGGCCAGCCATGCAAACTGAATTAACTTTTCGCACAATGAACAGATTTTTCTCTTTATTATCATAGGTATTTAAACCGGATGCTCGATTTTCTGAAAAGCTCTGACATATCATTACCACATCAGAGAAGTTCCAGTAATCATCTTTGAGCAGATTACAGTTTCCCTGAAATCAAAAGAAAAAAGTTATGATTATGACCTAGATTACCATCATTTCCTTCTGCTCCTCTGAGAGTTTAAGCAACCTGATTTCCCTCTTCTGCTCTTTTAAAATCTCCAACTTCTTGTTCAATACCCGATTCTCCCACTCCAGATGTTTTTACGGTCCTTTGTGTTTGCCTCCTTGAGTGCCTGATGATACAGACATGTTTTTTTTGTTCTTTTATTCCAAAATTAAATATGTTTTTTTTTTTTTTTTTTTTAGGAAAAAATGTACTGTCAGTATTTTGATGATTACTGCCATCGTCCACACTTCTGTGGACGATGGCAGTGTTCTCCCCAGGTGTATTGGTTGACAAAACTGTAGGCTCCACCTGTCCATATACAACCTGGACCATGTAGTTAGTGAGAAGCTCGTTCTTCTCATCCACGACGCTACAGATAACAAAAACCACTGACTAAATACTTCAGAATAGAATAACGCATGGTGGCTTAATTTCCATATAGCTGGTGGTTTGTGTTGGTTTGTTATTTTATTTATTTTCCCTTTTTGTTGTGATCTAGAAATTTGACTAGTAATTCAATAAGGCCATTTACTGAATTAAAGTGTCTCTGACACTGCAAGGTAACCAAACTCCTTATTATGTTTGAATAACTTGAAAATAATTATATATATAAAAAATAAAAACTGCAGAAAATTGATAGTCTATTTACTGCTTTAAAGCTTTAAATATGGTGTGACTTCTAACCACTAGGTGCATTGGACCTATCATTTCTAGGTTTAGGCTTCCTGAAAGCAAAATGCAGCACTATACTGTTAAATTAAACAGGCTCTCCATGTTTTGGAATGTGATAGCAGACCACTTTGGACCAGAAGATTAAGTTACTTTTAAATTCAAGGCCACATTCACTCCTCTGTATTAAATCCTACATCAGAGAACCAAAAAATACATCTGATCAGGTAAGGGTCGGTATCTGTTTTGTGGCCCAATTACTTTAAGCTTAGTTAGATCTATTTAAGGTGAGCTCTGATTGCCCTAAAGCTGCACTCTGGATCAGAAAACTCTAATCATGGATCCAACCCCTTTGAGTTACATAGACATGTTTTTTAAAAGGGCAGGCCTCACCAAGCATCAATAAACACCGAGTACTGCATATGGACCAGAAAAATAATAAAATATACCTAAAATTAAGCCAAATCTTTGGGTCAAAATTTATGCAGTGTTGCAATGAAAAACTAAGAAGTGCTACCTCAGAATGGCGTCACAAATCTGACGGATCTCTTTTTCTACTAGATGAAGTTTGTCTTTTCTTCTGTGCAGAAAGGCCTGCATCTCAGCGAGATTTAATACTTTTCAATGAATCTGTAAAACCATAAAGAAACCAAGGAAGAAATAAATTCATACATTTAAATTACATCACGGAGATATAAAACAAATCCTCTTATGTAGATGATTTTTTTACACATTTTGCTTTTCTAATCTTCCCCCCTCGTATTACCCTTTGTTCACTCTCCACTTTTGTTTTGCGCACAAGACAAAATATTTTCCAGATGGATGGTTTCAGCCTTTTGGCATGTTTTCTGGAGCATCCAGCTTTTCAATGGCTTTGAGCAGTTGACTGAGTCCATCAGGAGAAGCGGAGTCAGTCAGATGACGCTGCTTTAAGAAGGTGGGTGGGTTTCCAGTCTGGGCCCTCAACATTTGAACCCTGAAAATAGTCATGACTGTCACAACTTTAAAGAAAACCTCTATTAGACAGCTGATGCATGCATTTTGGTCTACATTTGAACAGCTTGTAAAGATGCTTGACCATGTCGTTTGGCACATCTGTAAAGTTCCTCCTAAACTCTTTATCCAGAACCTTTGGATGATGAAATAAAATCCAATTATCACTAGGACTAATTATTATTATTTATTTTTTTTACTATAATTTTATTGACAGGCTTACTTTGTCTTCAGCTACAGTTCTGTCATATTCAAATTAAACAGTTTCACCTCCTCCTCATATGTCCTCAATTCTATTGCCATTTTCATCCGTCAGAAAAATATAGTTTTGGCCAGTCAGCCTGACACAGGTACCTGTTGCTACACATCCCATTGTCAAATTACCTTTAAGGGATACTAAGGTGATGGACTGGAATGCATACAAATAATTCTGCCAATTTTCATAAATTGATTCTAGCACTGGCAATTAATAAATTCCTGCAGCATTAGTGTGCAACTTTTTCAACCTTGTACGCCAACGCCTGTTCAAGTTTTAGCTTGAGCTTCTGCTCTTGATTGTCCAACTGCTCAGCCTTTATCGCTATAAATTCATGTTAACAATCTTCATCTCTTCCTGTCAAAACCACACTCAGAACTTAATCAAACATCAGAAATGGGTTGAATGCATATATAGGTCACACTTTTTAGTTGTTGGTTGTAAAAAATTTGATAATCATGTAGAGATTTCGTGGCAATGAAACCGCTGTTGGATAAAAGACATTGAACCTTGTGTTTTTTTTATGGGGATCAAATTTGGAGTGGATCCAGACGGACACTTTTAAGACACTTTTTAAAAACTTACCTGCTCTATAGCTAATCTGCATTTGGGTTTCTTTTCCTCAAGCTCTGCAAGCATTTTGTCAAACTTTTCAGTTGTACATTTGATGGATTGCTGCAGAGCTTCCATTTCAGTTTCCAAAGCAGAGTTTCCAAATGCTTAACTTTGCTCTAGAATGTTGATAATCAAATATGAAATTTACATGTGAATATATTCATTCAGTTTTCTCTCTGATTTCTGCCCATTTGGATCAATTTAAGCCAGATGCTACACTAAAACCTGTAATGCTATGCTGCAAAGATAATAAAAGCCATTCACTCGTCAAAGATACATTAAAATAATAAGGTTAGATGTTTTTTAAAGCATTTAGAAAAACTTAACCTATGAGTGCCTGTGTAACAGACATCAGATTAATTCTGAAATGTTTTCTAAATGTAATGCTTAAAGCTAAGAGGAAATTACAAGACACATTATCTGACTTGCTTTGGATTGATTGACTCATTGAACAGAACATTTTTAAATTTTCTAAAATGTTCTAATTTTTCCTTTTTTTCCTTTCAGATATGCAGCTTCTGTTGACCACTATAAATAAATCACAATAAAGTACAGGAAAAGTAATGATTAAAAAGTTCAAATTTTCCTAGTTTATGGATTTTTTTCGTCCCTCTTCCGCAGGATGATGAGATCAAGGAACGAACCCTTCAGAAAATACTAGAGCAAAAAAAAACTGCCTATTTGAACAGTGCAGATAAAAGTAAGAAATTTATGAATATTAGTAGAAAGAAAGCAGAAAAACTCCAGTGTTTATCATGAAGGCATACGTGTGAAATCAGGTGGCTCTCCCACACCAACCTCCGCCTCTCTTCTCCTTCTTTCTGCTCCATGTTGAGGTATTTCTCTGCTTTAATATCGAGTGGGACAAAGGCAATATCTCACGATGACAATTACATAGCAGCTCAAATCTCAGCACAGGAGAACAAACAAACAATCCACAGAGCAGTTGTACAGCCCCTCATGCTTGGTTGAACTTTAAATGCACCATGTCCACTGCTGGGACATTAAATGAGGACAGTAACCTCAGAGTCGTCCAGAGTGAACAGACTCTCTGGCCACTCGCTGTCGGTCAGGCTGGGCTCCCACAGCTTCTGTTCTATGTCAAGTTTCTGCATGATTTCCCGGATCCTTTTGTTCCTGTCCCTCACATGTCTGAGCACCTCCAATTTCCTCCTGTGCAGTGCTTCCAAATCTGAGCTGAAATCCATCTTGATGTCATAAACCAAATCCTGAGTTCAGAGGTGACAGAAAGAATGTATTTCTAATTAGGATGTGGACAGTAACAATAATAAACTGAAGCTGGGCATCTGACTCATTCTTGAAACCACAAGTTTAACTACTATGTATACACAGTGAATAAAATGTTCAGGAAGAAGACAGGTTCTAAGATCCTGTGTGGTTTGATTAGAAAAAAAACTTGTGTTAAAGCATATCATAGGTATTTTATGGTAAAGGAGGGACTGGTGCGCTTCATAACAAAGATAACATCATGAGGAAAGAACAGTCTGTGGAGAACATCTTAAGACATTAACCAGAAAGTTTGATATTGGGTTCAAATCAGTCTTCCATTGGTCAACCATTGTATTATGGTTGATGACTGTTGGGCTTTTTTTTTCTATTTTCTTTGTTGGCTGTGACACAGATTGCCCCTCTGGGGATGATAAAATAACCCTAAACCTTGAAAATTTTGTGAGAATCTTGTGGTAGGAAGCCCAATCCATCTGACCCAAGTAAACAGTTTAAAAAGCAGCTTTACTAAATACAAAGGAAATGTACAAAAATAAAAAGAAATAAAATTTTTAAAACAGAAAAACTCCTGATATTTTTGCACCTTTTGAGCATTAAAATCATTTAGGTAAACCTAACTGACCTAAAGCAGGAAAATAAATTGCAAGATATAAATAAATAAAAATAAAAGATTGCGTCTTTTTATACGGATTAAATATTACATTATCTCCAACGATGACTACTGGTCCTTTTCCAGGATGTTTGCCACTGGCTTCAGAAAGCACTGCAGAATTAAAATGAAAAATATGCCCTTTTTTACTATGATTTGGCAGACCTGTAACAATATAATCTGGTTGCTCCTTTGTTCGATAGTTTTCAAGCTGAACTGGATGTAGAGATAAGGATGGAAATATCCTAACTGAGCTGAAATGCTTCCCCTCAGAGCTTTGCTCTCTGCCCCAGGGTCTTCCTCCTCTTCGCTGTTACTTATCTTCTGGCCCCTCAGCTGCAGGTTAAAGTTGTGGGTCAACAAATGGTACAGCAAAACATAAGCTCCGATTTTGCGGCAAGAAGATTATAAACTACATTCAAAGAATACTGCATTTAAGAGAATGATTTCAGAAGCCTGCTTTCAACCACACAGCTATAAATCTCCAAACATTTCATCAGCCTTGGACTGGCGTGTGTTCAAGTATTTCAAATAGGCTGCAGCAGGGACAGTTCAGAAAGGGTTGAGATTCAAAGCTAAAGGTTGTTTCTCCAAACCAGACTGGCTTGTACCTAAATCATTTTGCCTTAACGATTTTCCAGAGAGACATAGAAATAAAGTTTCCCTGCTATTCTGTTTAGAAAACATTGCATTCTTACCTCACACCCACAACTGCAAACATGGATCTAATTATCTAACTTATCACATGTGAATCGCTTTGCCTCATCAAATAGAATCTAAGCCAGCAGTTTTATTAACTCTGTTTGCAGCCATTTCATTCTTCCTTATATGTTGAACCCTATGGAGGTCCCCCAACTCCTTCTCTACTCTCTCATTGAGGGGATAGTTCTTTACTTCCATTTCAGAGTGGAAGGCCTGTGGGTGACGGAACCTCTTAATTCAAAGCTAAGAGTTCTGAGAAAAAGTCTTATTTAATAAGAGCTGACCATGATGCTCCTGGGTTTGACCATAAAGGAAGCCCAGCATTCCCTCTTCAGATCATCATGGAGGTGACGATTTTTTGCAATGTCCAGCTGAATTTCAGCCCTCACCTGCACAATATAGCGACATTAAAGATAATTTTTGAAAGGATTATTTAGGGTAAATGACAATAATGTTAATTTGAGCTTTCAGGACCTTTTCAGCTTCCTCCTCCACCATGGCATCCAGTACTCTCTGTCCCTCCACATCCAAGTTAAACTCTTCTATAGGGACGTGCTCATTTTCACGCATCAGTTTTTGAAGCCGACAGCAAAAGAAAAAGGCACATTTCACACATGTTCAGAGAGAAGAATCAAATTCAAATGTAGATTGTTTGTTTTTCAATTTGAACCTCTGATTATTTATTAGCAAATCAGATACTGGAAAATCCTATATTTTTTTTCTTTCATTTATTGCATCCAAACTGAATGGGCATTATTTTTGGTCTATACTGAATGGGCATTATTTTTGGTCTCATCAACAAAAGACATAGACGTAGATGCACTAATTGAAAAAAAAGGATCAATATTTGGGACATAAGCTTTGAAAATTTGATATAGATAGTTTTGTAAATCACTGCTGCACACATTAATATTCTATATAAATATTATGGTAAATGGCCTGTATTTATATAGCGCTTTTTCAAATCAGGAGACTTGACCAAAGTGCTTTACTCTACATTCAGCAGTCATTCACCCATTCACACACACACTGATGGTGGCGAGCTACATTGTAGCCACAGCTGCCCTGGGGCTCACTGACAGAAGCGGGGCTGCCATACACTGGCACCACCGGGCCCTCTGACCACCATCAATAGACAATGCAGGTGAAGTGTCTTGCCCAAGGACACAACGACACTGAAAGTCGGAGTGAACCATCAATCCTTCGATTTCAGGGCAAACTCCTACATCCGACACCACTGTCGCCCCATTATATACATTCTTTAGATGCAAAACCACTGCCTCAATCAAAAAACCTATTACACAGGTTTCTCTTTAGTCTCTGCAATGACATTTTAACTTGCTGAGTATCTCTTCAAGTGTGGGAACAAAATGTTATACATAACAAATAGCAACAAAGAACCCACTTACAGCCTCCCATATCCTTCTCATCTCTTCTCTCAGGTATATCTTTGTTTCTGCATACTTTCTTATTGTCTTCTTTTACAATCTGTTGAAGATATAATAGGAAACGTACATATAAATTGTTCTGAAAACCACTAAAGCAAGAAAGAACCTTCTTTTAAGCTTCTGCAAATTCCCCTACATAGGATATTGCAAGACCTCCCACATGTTTATTATTGGTTTACCTTAATGTTGAGCCTTTGTCAAGTGGAAACGTGCAAACAGGTCTTTTAATGCCTCTGTAATTACTTGTCCCTCCTACTCTGTAAAGAACCATAAATCAAACTACTACAAGATGAAAGGGAGTGCCAACAATAAACCGCTCTCTCTTAAGTAACACTCATGGGCCAGGCCCTTTCATGCTTATCTGTTAAGAATAAAGATAAATATCTAACCATATTTTAACATGATCTACATCCTTATCATTATCACCAATATAACAGGGTGTCACTCACAGCTTCTTGTCTCTTTTTCAGCCAGGTTGAGTTTGAGTTTTAAGCAGGGGAAATGTAACTTGCATCTTTCTCCCTCGCATCAATCGATGCTGCACAACTGACCTTTACAACGTAAACAATATATAGGAAGTCCGAGATTAGACTTTTATTTACATTTATTGTCATTTTGTCTACATAGAGTATATGAAAAACGACATTTTGTTTTGTACAGCTTTTATGACATTTCCATGTCTTAAAGTGCAGCAGTGATCAAATGTAATCAGTGAAGGAGAAAAAACCTTGGTGAAAAAATAATGCATTGATATGGAAGTTCAGAGCATTAATTATATATGGTATAATTATGCAGTGTTTTGGGGTTTTTTTGGAGATGCAGAGTAGCTAAGCACATTTCCTTTGGGAACGATCAAAATCTGAGAAGGTACATGTTGCTTTAGATTTGACCCATTCTATCATTTATAAGCAGCCATGCAACCATAATACACACCCACACACACACACAGACACACACACACACACACACACACGCAGGATGGAAACTAATTTGGCCGATCAAAGCAGCCGGTAGAAGTCTGAACTTATAATATCTTCACCTCTTCTTCCTGCATTATCTAAACTCTGCCTTTTTGCTTACTATAATAATTTTATTTAAGAAATTATACATATACACTAAACATATATTAGTATATAGTCAGTAATATCCAAAATATTTGTGAATATATGGAGTCCAGCCAAAGTTATTATACCAACTTATATTTATTAAACTTTTGCATGGTGGTTTTAAACTTTCCATATTTGACAGTGCTTTTAAATCCACATTATTTTTTTCCTAAAACACAGATTTGTTTTCCTTTGAACTTCAAATTCCAACCTTTCCACATAATGGATACACTTGGACTGGAGCACAGTTTATTATTTTTTGCTTTAAAAATCATTTGTGGGTTCTGAAATCTTAAATAGATCCATAACTTTTAATAGTTTACATGTTGTGACAAATGGGTCTGAATGAATTACATAATCTTAAAGAAAACTCTTATTATTATCAGTTATGCAGAACAAACAACTAATAACACTATTGTTTTTTGGTAATTAGTGCCATGTAGAGCTAGAATTAAAGGATCATTTAATCTAAAGCAAAACATAAAAGAGAAAATAAACAGTGTCACAGTAAAGCTGAGTATAATGGAGCAGTTTTACAGCATCTTCCTCTGAAGTCTCCTCAACCCACACAGAAAACTTCTTCAGCTCAGGGTTTTCAGAAATTAATGCAGTTTTCAAGGACAGAGGCATCATATCGCGATTCCATGTAGGATCATTATTCTCTTCATTGTAGGAATTCTCACTTCTGTATGAAAGTCTGAAAAAAATCAAATATGCAAATTGTCTTAATGTAGTTGCAGTTGTTTAGTGAAAATCCGCACCAGAAGCGAATAATTTCTCTTTCTTGCTGACTTTGGTCTTCTCTGAAATGCAACATAATCACATTAGCATTGGCTGTCAATAAAACGGCACAGAGTACTTTTAATTAAAGTGCATTATTAAAGAATTAGTAATAATAAAACATCAGAGGCCAAGACAAGAATACCTAAAAAGAAAGGTGACAACTTCTTGGAACCTGAGACTTATTTGTGTAGGAGCTGGAAGAGCAGACAGATGAGGAATGTGCGTGGGAAGGTTTTTAGAGCTTGAATGTGATTTTTACAACAGTACATCTTTGTTTTTTTCCAGTTTAGGCTCATTATTTCTATATGACCTCAAAATACCACCCACATTATATCAGATTTATTTACCTCTTTCCAGCACCACAGATGGACTATAAAAGCAGCATAGTGTATTAAAAGCTATATAAAGCTGTAGGTGTGACATGCTGTATGCCTGCAAGCAGGGGCACCCTCTGCTGTTCAAAGTTGCAAATAAGATGATTATAATTGTTATCTGAGATTGGTGCACTGGAGAGAACCGTCTTTTAAGCCAGTTGTGGAAACTGTGTTACTGTCTGCAGAGGAGGAGACAGTCCGAAGTCCAGCGAGTCGGCAGGAATGACACCACAGCTCACATTACTGTCCCTGCAGGGGAATTGGCAGCATTAAACTTACACTACTTTGGAATAGTATTAATGAACATTGCAACTTCCGATGCTTTATAGTATCTAACCTACGTATTTACAGATTATTTGAAGTATATTAATATCAGTTATTTATTTAGCAAACTCAAGAATAGTAATGCTTTGTGTGCAATGGCGTAACTACACAACAATAGGCCCGTAAGCAACACATCATAAAGCTTCAGGATCCGGAGACAGTTTAATAAATCGGCTGAGAAGAAACAATTGTGCAATTCTCAGTGGTATATGATCACACATTACACACGGACTGCGCACCTTGAATGGAACCATTGATGACAGCGCACCATCACATGTTACAGACATCCCAAGTTCCCAAAACTAATTTCAGGGAGATGCTAATCGACCCCCCCCACCTGCAGAAGACAACCGACCCGAAACGTGCCCCATACATAGGCTACACACCTCATCATTCTTCACCTTCACTAGACATGGATATACATTATTATATTAGCACAATAAGCCATGGGGCTACCTTGAGCTTCACAGCCCCCCTCCTCACCTACGCTCTCTCCATTCATCTTTTGGTCACAATCTTCACTTACTGTTGCAGCAACGTCCACCTTTCCCTCTTCGGTTCTTTGAAAGAACGTGTTTATTTTGGGAAGATTTTCCCCTTCTTCCAGCGGCTCTTCTTTGCTTTTTCTTTTCTGGATTCTGCTTAAGTACCTCTTTTTGGTATCCATCGTCGCTAACACATTGTACATAACGGTTATGGTTTTAATCTACACTCTGGATTACCAATAATTCCAAGCCGTAGTGTAAAAAATAAAATACTTATATACATCGTTCTTTTAAGATCTTTATCGCGGTTTGAAAAATATTATAGGCCTATGAGTGTTTTTTTTTTTTTTACCAATCATCTATACAGTATTAACATAGTAATTAAAAGTACCACTGTCTGCTTTGCTATTGGTGTCGAGTTTAAACGGCTCACCATCATGTTGAAATCTGACATGTGTCGGGGTATAAATAAGGTCCGCTGAGGTTATTCATTTCAGTATCAGGTGGGTCTAAGAGGAATTTTTCGCACCATTACATCTGCAAAGACACTTCCTAGTCTACTATTGCGTAGGGGGCCTACAAGGTGTCAGTGATGGGGCCCCTAGAAGGTTGTCTGCTTACCGATATTTACGCCATTGCCTTTGTGTCTCAACCGGCTTTACACAGCTGGAGGCTGAATTTAATACATTTTCCTCTAGTTTATTCTCTGGCAGACTCTAAAAAGTTTACTTGTTTCATCATACATAGCATGTTGACTAAAAGGTGCAGTAACCAGACTGCTATCTCACTTGGCTTGTGGAGAACTTTAAATAGGTGCTTAATATGGCAACACACTGTTCCATAAAGGCCAGATTTGTTGAATCCGCCTGAGCTGTGGATCTTTGTTGGTCCTTCAGACTTTGTTTCCCTTTTGGATAATGGATTAAAAGTGGTCAGTGAGATAGTTACAACTCAGGATACTTATTTCACAGCTAAACTTCCTGTCCACAACTCTGTCCCTTTATGATAATGATGCCTTTTAGTCTATAAAAAAACTGCTGAAGAGGAAATATTATTGTTGGGAAGAAAACAGCTGCATTTATGCTGAGGTTAAATTACATATAAAACACTGTTTGACTTTGGTCACACATTAAAGAATTACCCTGGTATCTATCTAGGAGGTATTGGAGTTAGGGGGGCTTAATACAAATGCATAGCAGACTTTTGGGGATTTTGATTTGAAAAAACAATAATAAAAAAGCATGGATCATTTTGAATAATTTAAAAACAGCAAATTATGAAAATAAAATCAAAATCCACATTTACCATAGAGGCAGTAGGCCTGATCCGCAGTAAGCAATCTTGTCCAACAGAGGGCAGCCACAAGCTGTCAGGAGACAGAAGGACATAGGCAGGCCCGAGTGGGTGACCTTTCACCTGATCCTTTGGTTTCAGCTGGATCATCTGTTGGCTGAATAGATAATCTGTAAATTAACAAATCAGGAACAAAACAAAATAGTTTAATTCCTGTCAGTGTAAACGGTATTGCCAAAATTTAAGAACTATGATGATAGGGGTGCCAGGGTCAACACTTGGGAAGCTGAAATCTGAAGAGATTTTTTACTTTGACAATAAGCAAAGACTTCGTCAACTTCAAGAGAACAGGAAGTCAGAGGAGGTTGCACTTTGTATGTGAAAATTTAGGGGACGTGCAGACAGCCATTACAGTCTACAAAACTTGACACTAAAGGTCAGCAAAAACACATTAGTGTTATCAGCTTTAGAAATAAATTTGCAGTCATTAAAAAGATAAAACATTCTTATTCCTTTTGAACCATATCTATTGCAAGTCATTGTACTAAGCTCTAAATCTGCCGTGTCATTGTGTGGTGCACTGGCTGTTCATCAATCAAAGGCGTTTTTTAAAAAGATCATGTTTAGCCATTTTTTCAAGAGCTTTATCCACTCTTTCTATTGTAAACCTTGCTTATCCTTTATTTAAATCAGTTTATTGCTTTATAGCCTCATGTTTTTAAGCAGCTGGTATTTACTGGCTTCCTACCTTCAGTCATACCAACAGGCATTGAATACACAATCATTCCCCATTTTCCACGAAGAGGCACAGGGTGGAGAGGGATAAAATGTGTCCAGGATCATAAGTAAAAAACAAAACGGCACTCAAATACACATAAGCGATATTTCGTGAAAAGTTCTTACCAATGTATACTATTACTGAAAACCTTCCTGATGGCCTTGGGTTGACCACATATAGATGTAAATCCAATTCACTGCAGAAAATGGTAGTGTCCCTCTTGTTCAAAACTGTAAAAAAGAGAAAATAAACACATCTGGATTTCATTTTCATGGCACTAAATTAAAAATGTCTGTGTGATGGGTCATCTGAAAGTTTATGCTTTTGTATAGATGGAGGATAGTTGCACTAGATGATCCACAGCAGCGTGGTTGAGGTAAACCTCATGAACCAGGCGAAGTTGCTTCTCGTCGTTTAAGTCAATGAAGTCAATGCCGTTCCAACAGCTGCATAATTCGCAATGGGACAGCAGGCAAGACTTGTCGTCTAAAGGGACGTTAATGGCACTTTACCTTCAATTATGTTCCAATTTATTACTTTTCTGATCATTCATTTTACGATGCTCATGGATAGACGGCTTATCAAACTCACCTCTGTTTGTAGGTCCAGTGAGCTGATGCAGGTGCCATCAGAGGACAACAGCTGCAGAACTCCACCCTCCCTTAAGGACTGAACTTAGTAGAAAGATACACACAGCAGCTTGCAGGGGTAAACTAAAGATGTAATTCACAAAACAACATAAATTTTTTACCACAAATGTTTTTGTCAGTTTGACACGACGCAGCTGTCAAAAGGTTGCCGCTGAGAATGTTCAGGGCTTTTGGTGATGTGGATCTTACGTGTGATCTGCAGACAATGGATCACACTCTCCTGCAACACAAGGAAGGGTTAAAAAACAAGATGAGCTGTAGCCAACATCAATCTTTTGGCTGAACAGTTTATTTTGACAATTTGTTCAGCTGAAAGTTGTTTGTTTAGTACAAGACGCATGTCTGGAACAACTCAGGTTGGGTTCTTGGTTGGAGGGGGATGGAGGTCCTCTGCCAAAAAGCCATCGGTTGCTGGAAGCTGTACTATGCTGTAACACAATAAAAGCACATTCTCTTCATATAACCAAGTATATCCTCTTGACAGCTTTACCATATAATTACCCTTTTGGCAATGAATACATTGATTGTTATTCACCTTTAAAGATACTGGGTATATTCCCGAACCGTTCACTAAATGGTGCAGTTTACAGGATAGATGCATTACTGTGCAGTTTGTGTGATTTTTACCTCCCACATCTTTCTATATTCCAGACAGTGACGGTTGTGGTGCCCAAAGCACAATGCTGGAGCCAGTTCATGGGGTTGAACTGTAAAGAAATGACATCATTTCCTCCTTGTGACCGTGTACAGAGCACCTCAGCAGGTTCCCAGTTCCTGCACACACATAATTACTCCACTTATCTCATTTGTATAGACTTTACAATGTATAAGGCAGTGTTTTTCAACCCTGGTCCTCAAGGCACACTGCTCTGCATGTTTTGGATGTTTCTGAGCTTCAACACACCTGATACCTGATAATTGCAGTTCAGCAAAGCCTGACGATCTGCTATCAATTGATAACAGGTGGGTCGAAGCTGGGAAACATCTAAAACATGCAGGGCAGTGTGCCTTGAGGACCGGGGTTGAAAAACACTGGTATAAGGCATCTGTGTCCTCACATCTGATTTATCACATGTTATAACAACAAACTCAAATTTCTTTTGAGATTTTATTTAATAGGCCAACACAAAGGGACACATATTTGTAAAGATGAAGGAAAATACAAATTGTTCCCCTCATTCTTCCATCCATCACTCATCAGTACCTGTTCATTCTTGCTGGGTTGATGGCAACAATATACTTACAAAAAAATAAAATAAAATCGACAAAAATACAACTATTTTCTGAAATAAAAAACATAATAAACAAACAAACAAACAAACAAAAAACACAGA